CGTTTTACCCATATTCTATCGCGATATTTCATTTTCCTATCGTTGCCCAAAATTACACCGGTATTACCGTGAACGGTATGATATAGCCCAGCCCTGACAGTGAAACAGTGAACATGTGCAACGTCTGTGCCAGTTCTCACCACACTAAAAATGCTCAGTGCTTCACTGATGAGGTCAAGAAACTATAGAAGACATTTAGACAATTAGTCTCAAAGACAGAGCGACAAGAGAGGGAAAGAGGAGTGTTCAAGGGAGAGGAAATTAAAACCAGATAAGAGGAAATGAACGAAAGAAGGCCAGTGAGAGTGACAGGCGTACAATGCTTTTATTATCCAGTACTGGGGGAAAAAAAAGAGTAACGTGAGCCTCAATACTGCACAAAGTTCAACACATGGATCATTAGACCTTGGCTGAGAACTATGCTGAATAGAGACCTCTTGACACATTTAACTGGTTCCCTTAGTTCCTTCAGAAAGAAAGATCCCGACATCTGTGAGGTACAACAGTGATATCCAAAAGAGACCCATCAAATGTATATCATTTATCCTCTACTTTTATCCTGTATTGCTCAGCTGTGGTGATAAACTGGTGTCATGGCTAAAAACAATCCCCTGATGCTCCATGGCATCTTCACCATGTCCAGGCGCTTTGTTGAGAGACACCAGCGTGGACAAATAGTGATTTCCTGTAGTCATCTTCTAACAGGAAAATCCTTGGATCGCTTAAAGCTGCGGTTCTTACCTGGAGAAACTGACATGGCCATGCTATAGGATCGTTTTGCCTGTTCATGCTGTTGCCATGATATACTGAATATCTCATTCATTATAGTCATTCATTATAATAAATGATAATAAAATAATATACTCACTTAAAGAAAAAAAAAAGGAGAGATGGCAGATGTTGTTCATACGCTAAAAATTATTCATTGCAGTCCACAGCTACTACGCTTCTAGTTACTAGTTACTACTTCTAGCTACATTGTGCATTCTGTGGTTATAATAAGATTAGGATGCTTTTCTAAGGTGTTGCAGGTGCATTAACGCTAAAAATGGGTTGCTTTAGCCCAATGCTAGGTGGCTGCAAACCAACATGATGATGTGAAAATATCCGATGCAGATAGGAGAGCCTAACATGTGCCTGTGTACCACTTTTGGTGGCTCAATTCCTGATGGTCTAGGGGGAGGTTTGTGGAAAAAGAAACACACAAACATGCAAACCGAGATTTTGTGTATTATGGTGAAACATATAACCAGGTTATTATTTCTGATCTACTGATGTTCTTAAATAAATCACAGCCTGTGCCACAAATGTAACAAAATCACCCTATTTCAAATATCAACAGTTCAAAGTAAACTTTCTACTCGAAAGATACAGAATATAAGTATATATAAACATAAATATCACCGTGTAACCTCGACAGTGAAGCAAAACATCAGTGTCAATAGTGCCCGAACAGAGTGATGTGTGGCTAATAGTAATTACCGTCATCGGTGGGGTTAAAACCACAAATGTCGCAGATGTGGCGGACCCACTTATTCATCTCGTCTTCGGTGTCAGCCACCAGATAAAAGATGCGGTCAAAGGTTTTGATGTCGAATATGTAGCTGTTCTCCAAATCTTTTTTGCTGAAGGTCAGACCGGCGTCCACCTGAGGGAGAGCAACCGACACGGATTAGCTTAATGTGGCATCAGCCAAGGAAAGACTGATCACTAATAGAGCTAACCAAAGAAACGAAAAAAAAGGGAAAATGTGTTAAAATGATAATTCTTAATTAAGAGAATTTGCAAAAATAATCTAAAAGGTAACTGCTCTCTAAACAACAAATGAAATTTGGAGCGCTAGAACCCAGCACTTAAACTATTATGCTAAAACATTTGTACACCGCAGTCACATAAAGGCCATTTTCATTATTTTACACAGATTTTTAAGGACAATTAAATTCATCTTGGATATTCATGCAAATATGCCAAATACATCAAAGTCACATCATGCAAACTTGGATCTATTCAAGATGGTAATAATTTATATAACTTATGCAATAAAACTACAGGGCAGAAGTAAAAGGGGAGCATACCTGTTCACATAAGTTGAGGTCAATCACACGAATGGGCTTCTTGGCATGGTCATTCTTGTAGTACTCCAACACGTCTGGGTCGCCTGTCAGACGGCCGCTGCGAAGAACAAACCACCGCTTCTTCCATGCCTGCAGGGTGAGCACAGAAATGAGGCCAAAGGTTACATGTGTGTTCTTACAATGACTTCTCCGTTCCCAGATGACCACAGGCTGGCCAAATGCTGTACTTTTTTCAGTTTAGCCACTGTGTCCTATCATAGCTCGTGTCTTTGTGTGCATTCTCCACCAGCTGCACTGCCCTTGCTAAAAGAACAGTGAGAGCCAGAGGGAAGAGGCCCGCAACCAGAAATATGTGTCTGGGATAACCAGAACAAAAGCCACATAGTTTGGTCTAGCACCCTGGCTGCAGTGAACAATCAAATCTATAATAAGAAACGAGCAATTGGGTCCTCTCTTTCAAATCCAATTTATTGTCTGTGAGAAAAAGACATCACATAGCAGACAAAAGAGTTCAAACTCAGACACGGGGAGGGGGGGACATAAGCAGACGAGAGCTCAGCACTGTAAATAAAGGGTTGAGCAAGCAATCTAGTAATATAATCCTTGAATATATTAAGGACATTAATGAAACAATGGAATGGGACCATGGGAGGCTATCTACCATAATTTAATGCATCAGTAATAAATTGTGATGAAAACATTCCTTTGTGCCACTAATTCCACGTACAGTTCATCTGTAATCATGATTAGCTCTTCAGATATAGGATATGTAAGACTGCCAGCTTAATCACTATGTTAAAGTGACAGTTACTGTGATTCACTGCTAGGTTGCCTTTTATAACATTATTCTTTGAGCCATAGTATATCTGTAATATTTGGAATACGTGCAAGAGTTGTTACACTTGTGGCAGCAAACATTTTGATTGGGTCATTCATCCTGGACTTTCTCTGTTTGTGTGTGTGCGCCTGTCCACTCGGAGCTGCACATTCACTCATCGATGACAAAACTCAGTGCCATTCATACCCAAGTGGAGCAAAGTACAGCATTATCAGGCACAGGAAGTTTAACCCCTGCTTTAGTGTGACAGCATGCATTCAAACTCCAAGGGTGCTCATTCACACCAGAATCACTAAGACTAGGACGGATATTTGGACAGGGTGTTGCTCTGAAACTGACCCCAAAAGCCTGGATCAGATTACCTAAGGTAAGCATAGCAGCAGCAGTTAGGAGGTATTCCACACCTGGTACACCGACAGCTCTTATTTGTATGTTTGCAGTTAATTAAAAACAACATTTTCAAAGTGTCGTCAAAGTGAAGCGGCATGACTGAAAAGATCAGAATACGACTATGCTTTCTTTCTCTCTCGCCCACTTTCACGCCCAACATGTTGTCCTAAACTCAGTTAAATAATATTTCACTCCAGCTCTTTGGCAGCTCCACACGTGACTTGTGTTTGTGAAGAGAAAAAAAAATGTAAAATAAAAATATTTTATTTATTTACATTTTATTTTTAAGTGGGTAAGCAGTTTACATCAAACATAAGGAATTAGCAAATTTGGATTTCAGCTTATTAACTTAAAACTATGTTTGGATCAGTATCAGCAGATACCAGTATCAGAGGATCCCTTATCAAGACAACAAGACAACAGGTTTAGATGCATAAGAGCACCTTATGGGAAAAGCCAATAGTAAGTTCAGGTGGATAAGCAACAGTATTTGGGGTAACTGGACAAAAAAAGTTCCATAATAATAATCAGAACACGGGTTAAAGGCTCTCATCTGAGGCTGAATCCTTTCAGTGCAGAGAGGTGAGAGCTGCAGGAGCAGGGCCGTCCATTTTTTAAAACTTTTTGTTTTACTTCTTTATATTTCTTCTTACTGCAGATTCTGAACTTGTTCACATGTTCACACTACAAATAAAATGTGACAGCAAAGGCACTCTAGTGTGAACCCTCAAAGCGGCCCACATGCGCAAAAGAACACGTCACACACAACCATTCAGCTTAGACCCAGACCAAACAGTATTGTTTGACTGATGGCCCTTAATATAAAGACTTGTTTCTGACTTAACGTTTCCCAATTTTGCTTTAAGTTATAAAGTTATTTTGTTATTTACAAATGGCCTAATAATTATTCTTATTGCTGTTTTAGAGAGGAGCGGTGCTTCAAAGGATAGTTGCAGATTTCTGTCAGAGTCTGCAGATTATACAGTACAAATAAAATGTTCAAGTTTCTCCAATGTTGTCTTCCCAACAGTTTTACTGGATCGCCAGGAAGCTTTCGCGATGTCTTCTCGGGCGCTGATAACTGTCTTGTGTCAGTGACGTAAAAGACGGATTTAATGCGACATATGTATCAGATTCAGTACCACATACGAAAGTGACCCAGATCGGATGTGAAAATATTGAATTTGTGCTGTTCGTACTGTCACACCATGATCGGATATGTGTTGCAAAGGTTAAAAAAAGTCAGATTTGATGCGCTTTCGCCTGCAGTGTGAACGTAGCCTAAGAGTCAGGGGCCCACTTGGGTGTACAAAGCCAAAGGAAGGATTGCTTTGTCACTGCATTCAACTCTATTTAGTTTTACTAAAATAAACACACAGACACACATAAATGCTGAGTCAAAGAAGTCAAGCTCTCTTGCTTTTGTTGAATCATGGCAGCTGAAATGAATGTTTGTTTTAGAGCTCAAAATAAGCTCTCTGTGAAATTATTAGTGAGAATTGCCTAAGACAGAAAAGGCGATTTTGTAGAGGACAGAGGATTTGTCCAAAAATGTTTCACTTCCTTTTACTGCTAAAGCCAGGGGCCGAGGAAAAAGGGATTTTCTTTTCTTTTTTCAAAGATTTATCAAATGTGTTGTAACACCAAATGGAAACGGCCAACCCAACAACAGAACCGCTCTGAGCAATATTTGAAATGTGAGTTTAAAATGGCACACGAGATCTAGTAGACAAACAACCACCACTAAGATCAAACAGATAAGGAAGCATACCAGCAGAGTGTGAGGAATGCAAACTAAAGCTTTGTTGTTGCTATTTTGGAATAAGATTTTGACCCTATTAACAATGCTCCGGCCTTGTTTTTTCATCCCTCTGTTGTTTTTCCATCCACAGGGTGTCCTTTGTTAGTGGGCCAAGCGCCACGCTGAGACGGCATGAAGAGCATCAGACCTTTCCCTCCACCAACAGGATGAGCAAACAAGCAGACCTGCAGAGCTCTTGGATTTTCAATTACAAGCACACAGATATACAAGAATCAGACTGAAACGTTTAACAAAGAACGTTCACATCACACACTTGCATAGTGCACTCATGCATGCAGCCCATGTTTCACACACTCTAGTTCAAAAGGCCTGCATTATATAATCACAAACACACCCACACAATCCGAACTGAGGCTTAAACCTATTAAACCTACATCCTTTGAGGTAGGCCCACTTAAATATCAAATTTCAAATATCAAAGTACAAAAGCTTGGGTGGTGAAAAAAAAAGAAAGGGAAAAAAAACACAAACAAAAAACACAAGGCTCATGTCCCCGTGCTGGTTTGACTGAGATGGTGGGTGTGGAGAAGGAACCTCTCTCTCTCTTCCATATGACAAAGCAATCCTGGGTCAGGTTACCCTGCAGGGAACAGAAGGACCAAGAGCTTGGGTTACACCGAGGCCAGGCCCGCCCAGGGAGAGAGTGTTGACAACTGAGTAAGTCGTATACACTCAAGACACGGGCAAGTGAAACCTGCTCCACAAAACTGCTTCACAGCCACAGAGCAAAGTTCTTTTTAAAAATATACACCATCCATCCATCCATCCATCCATCCATCTTCTTCCGTGTATCCGGGACCGGGTCGTGGGGGCAGCAGCCTAAGCAGAGAAGCCCAGACCTCCCTCTCCCCAGCCACCTCCTCCAGCTTGTCCAGGGGAACACCAGGGCGTTCCCAGGCCAGCCGAGAGATATCATTTCTCCAGCGTGTCCTGGGTCTGCCCTGGGGCCTCCTCCCGGTGAAGATATACACAGGACTGATAATTTACGTCATGAAAAAAAAAAAAAAAATAACAAGAGACAAATAGGTCACACAAGCAGACAACATCTGCAATTCCTGCACAATGACGACTGAAACTGAATACACAACAACAGCATGAGATGTCACTGATAACCAATCTTAACAAAAATGTGCCTTCTGTTTGAAAAACACACTTGAAGTCATTCGTTATAATAAATGATAATAAATATGTTAAAGCACCTGTCCAGAGAAAAGTACTGAAAATGTAATAATGAGTTATTATATCAGTTAAAATATTTATGATTCAGTCCTGGGACAGATCGTTAAAATATAATCATTTCAAACTATGTATTTACAGTGTAACAACAGATGAAAACACAAAAGCCAGTTTTAAACCTACATGCAATACTGTGTTATGGGCCAGCCACAGTTAAAAGCAGTAGTTAGTGTTGCCATGAATCCGTGCGCAGTGTTTCTGCACTGCCACATTAGCATGGTCACAGACTGAAGTGGTTCTAGGAGGACAAGCTGTGTGGTAACTAGAGCATCTCTCCTCCCATCTGTGGGATTTCACACAGTTTTTCTTATGCACAATTATACACACTTGCACTGTTTTTTACCAAAGATCTGCATTGCCCAGCCAGCCCTAGGCATATGAATAAAAATTAACACCTACACAGTTAATAACACACAAATGAAAACACCACCCAGGGTCTTAGCATCCCTAATGGCCAGCTCCTCACACAGCTCCTAAATCGCACCTCATGTCACTGGCATGGATGCATAATCATGTTTATGCACACAAGACAACATGAAAGAAGTAGAAATCAAATCAGTGCAACGAACTGTGGAATATATTGGCAGGAACTGCAACAAAGAAGTTAAAAACCATGCAGTGGTCCGTAATCACATTTCTCATTTACCTCCTACCAGACTGAAACGATTTAAGATTTAAGTGTGTTAAAAACATTAAGTGTTCCTTTTTTAAAAGTGCATGGGGAGCGACAGTGTAGTCAGGCCCTCGCCGTGAGTTTCCTTTGGATTTACCTTTATATAAATTGAATAGAACAATGCTACAAGTAATCATCTTGCCTTTCATCCTTTCAAAGGCATGGTGCAT